CCATTGTTGCGCAGAAAGATAGTGCAGCAATACCAGAATGGTGTTACCCAGCATAAAATAGCAAAGACTTTTAAGTTATCATCATCAACCGTGCATAACATCATCAAACGATTCAGAGAATCTGGAACAATCGCTGTGCGTAAGGGTCAAGGCCATAAAACTCTACTGGATGCTCGTGTTCTCCGGGCCCTTAAACATCACTGCACTTCAAACAGGAATTCCACTGTCAAGGAAATAACAGAATGGGCTCAGGAATACTTCCAGAAAGCATTTTCAGTGAACACAATCCACCGTGCCACCCGCCGTTGCCAGCTGAAACTCTACAGTGCAAAGAGGAAGCCATTTCTAAGCAAGCTCCACAAGCTCAGACATTTGCACTGGGCCAGGGGTCATTTAAAATGGAGTGTGGCAAAATGGAAGACTGTTCTGTGGTCAGATGAGTCACGATTTGAAGTTCTTTATGGAACACTGGGACGCCATGTCATCCGGACCAGAGAGGACAAGGATAGCCCAAGTTGTTATCAACGCTCCGTTCAGAAGCCTGCATCACTGATGGTATGGGGTTGCATGAGCGCTTGTGGCATGGGCAGCTTGCATGTCTGGAAAGGCACCATTAATGCAGAGAACTATGTTCAGGTTCTAGAACAACATATGCTCCCATCTAGACGTCATCTCTTTCAGGGAAGACCCTGCATTTTTCAACACGATAATGCCAGACCACATTCTGCAGCAATCACAACATCATGGCTACGTAGGAGAAGGATCTGGGTACTGAAATGGCCAGCCTGCAGTCCAGATCTTTCACCTATAGAGAACATTTGGCGCATCATAAAGAGGAAGGTGCGACAAAGAAGGCCCAAGACGATTGAACAGTTAGAGGCCTGTATTAGACATGAATGGGAGAGCATTCCTATTTCTAAACTTGAGAAACTGGTCTCCTCTGTCCCCAGACGTTTGTTGAATGTTGTAAGAAGAAGGGGGGATGCCACACAGTGGTAAAAATGGACTCGACCCAACTTTTTTGTGATTTGTTGACGCCATGAAATTTGGAAACAACAGATTCTTCCCTTAAAATGATACATTCTCTGTTTAAACTTTTGATCTGTGATTTGTGTTCTATTCTGAATAATATATTAGATGTTGGCACCTCCACATCATTGCATTCAGTTTTTATTCACAATTTGTTTAGTGTCCCAACTTTTTTGGAATCCGATTTTGTAGTTAATTACATTTTGTGTTCCTTTGTGTAAAGTGTTACCCAATAATTAATGTGTTCCCCAGAAGTTTGTGCGTTTCAAAAGAGGCAGAAATTGAAAGCAAATGAAACAAGGTAAGGAGCAATTTGGGATTTTCCTCTAAAGAAAAAAAAAACAAACCAAAACAAGTATTTTATTATGCCCTAAAGTGAAATGTTACATCAGCCCTGTTTAGATAATTAGACAGTTTGATTGTCAGAAATACAATGTTTATTCAGTGTTCACTCTTTTTTGCATTCCCTGAAGCTGACTTCATGTATAAATTCCTGCGTTTCAGCAATCATACAGCATTTACAGCTGGCATTGATGTTTGTCTAACACACACTAACAGACCAAGGTTTCCCTGGCAGAATTTTTTATAAACAGAACAAAAATCCCTGCCCTGACATGAGGTGTTCATCGTGTCTGATAAACACAAGATTTGTACCAGCAAGTTCAAAACTGCCAGCATGTAGACCTTATCTTTTTAACTGTTGTTGAACACGTAAGCTGTGACTAACCTACACACAACATTCAAAATGAAAGTGAACACAAGTAAAGTTTAGAAATCTGGATAGTGCGGCAGGGTTTTATGCCTATTGAGTCTCAGTTTCCTGAAAATATTTTTCTGTTTTATTTCTCTCTCACAGGAGCACTAAAGTATGTTTCATGTCTGTTAGACCACAGGCTAGAGCTGACTCCACCACCCGCCTGTACTTCCTGTCATACACGTGCAAAACTACACCTTCCTCCTCCCACTCCATGTGGCTCCTCTCTGTTTCACAGCGCTTCATCCCTCTAAGCACACCCTTTACTGACATTTAAGCCGTGGCTACTGATGGAAAGTTGCAAGCAGGACAAAATTATCAGACAGAGCAGAGACAGAAAACGCCTTGCACTCTATAATTATTGCTCTAGCTAATAACTAATTATCCAACTCATTCAGGAAGAACATGTACTGAGCGTATGTCATCATCAGCTCTGAATGGCTTTCCTTTTTAAAGCATGTTTTCTGACCTGCCTGGACTGAAGCTGAAACATCTGTGGAATGCGTTGACAACTCTTGGGACAGCTGGACAGCTTTCAAACCACACACACCTCTTGACAAACACAAAAGGTGAGATTATTGTGGACACGTTTAAATGTAAAATGTCTAGAAGCTCTACACACACACTGAAATGGTTAAAGGATTATGTGATCATTTTTATGGTCTTCACTCAGGGCGTTGGCTTCTTTTTATGAAGCTGATGATGTTTTCCCGAGTATTTATTAACGTGTGAGCAGATTTCCAGGAATATACATTGAACTTGACACTGTCTGAGTGAGTATCTGGGAAATCTCTAGTTTGTAGGAAATATTCGTTCATAACACTTCGCCACGTCTCTGAGTACAGCAGACGACTGTCTGACAAGGGAACATTCGGCACATCTGTAGGTGAATTACGACTGATACAGTGCTTCCATTTATTATCAGTTTGTTAGTGAGAAGCAGCACATTTTCCTCTTTAAAAACAACCAAGTTCATTCAACCAATTTTAAATGTGACTGTTGTTGGCTGCATTGGACAAACTTATGCTTGGGCCAGTGTAGACAAAAATCCTCTAACTGTATTTACAGTGGACTGCCTGTGAGAAGACAAATGTTAAAACATGTTACAGGCAGTTCCAGTGAAATGAGGAAATACTAATATGTTTATAATATTTGTGGCCAGCCTGATGACTACACAGCTGATGAAGGATTTGTAAAGAAAAAAAGGGGAAAAAAAAGTCATGTTTAGTAGCAAAGCGTTCCAATATTGCCATCGCTGTAGTTTACCAGTGAACAATTTATTTGAAAAGTGCATGCACCACCAACAGAAGGGTGACTCTCTGTTTCCAGTGAACGTCAACTGTTCCAGCTGTGGTTCTCTGACTTTTTGTGGCATTTTCAGAGTGGAACATTAGTCAACGCTGTGAGATTTCCGATGCGTCTGCTAATGGGATCACATTAATAGCACTTTCAAGGAACAAGTTCTTTTGACACATCAGCCAAGTAAAGCAGGAAGACAATGAACGGATGAATTCAATGTGTGAAGCTCAGCGTTTTGTCTTCCAGTGAGAGTTAACACTTCCACCTGTCTTGTCCATTAAATTAAATTTGGACAATGAAATAAACTGTCAGTCTGTCTCCGTGAGGATGCTTTTAAATCAATCTGACCAAAGGTTCTTTTGTTTTCGTAGAATCCCAAAGTCTTATTGCACTGAAAAATTGATTACTGCTTAAAAAAACATGAACATTACCATAAAAACTGGAGCAGCTTGAAAATCAGATTGTCCAAAGTGGGGATTTTAATTGTTGTAGAGAAATTCTCAAATTACCACAGTTTGGAGGAAAATAGTTAAATTCTGACTGGCTCGATGAACTAACGAGCAAGGCCAAGTCCAAAATGAAATGCAGCTGTTTTAAAAGAAATCCACTCCTGAAAACACTATTAGTGCTTTATGCACATACATTGCTGTGTGTTTCACATTACATCTAACAACATTAAGTCAGGTCCTCTGGACAGATTCTTCTTTGTTTATCCAAAAGACTTCTTCAGTTTGAGGAGTTTTTTGAATAAAAAACAAAACGTTTCAACAAAGAATAATCCGTTCGTGACCTGGCTTAACCTTGTTAGATTTATCTATCTGGATTATTAAGTATGCATCAGGATGTATCACATTACAGTTATTATTTTCTGCAGAAATATTATGGCATCTAAGGGTTAGAAATGCTACACATATTTTCTCTTCCAAATAATCATACAATTCTATGTAAATAACAGCACAGCGTGAAACTTTTTCATTCATTCAACCTTTATTTAGACAGATTAATCCCATTGAGCCTCGAGGACTCGTTTACAAGAGAGACCTGATTTCAACAAAGACTGATGAAAAACAATGGACAACAGCGACAACAATAGACAATTATAAAAAGGCATACAGATTTATTATTATTATTTTTTTACAAATTAAAGTAAGATGGCAAAAAAAAGTAGCAAAAACAGTTAGATTATAAGGTGAATGTAGAAAACTAAAAACAGGAACATGTCTGCATTGGTCCTTGCCAGGAGTCCAACTGATGCTTAAAGCCACTTAGAGAGGTCAAGGTCGAGAGCTTCAGAGCTTCAAACTAACAGCAACAAAAAGATTTACATAATGGCTTTCACATAAATTGATTTTAAACCTTCAATTGTTGTTTTAGGACAGCAGACGTTTACTTTGATCCTTCTCAAATTAGTTGTTAACAAGTAAATTTGTTAAGAGTTAAACTCCAAGCTGTATATGTACTATAACAGGCAACAAATTATTTTTGTAATATTTTTTTTCACAGAATCCCACTAAAAATATTTGAAAGGTTTATGCAATGTATCACTTTCCACAAAACCAGGAAACAAAAAAGAAAGGTTGAACTTTTTTTTTGTTTCCCCATACATCATGTTTGAATCTTAGCATTGTAAGTACATGTCAGGGTTTCAGATAGATATAGTCTGTGGTTATGAGTTGACTTCAACTCACCTTAAACTATTGACTTAAGCTTTCTCACATTTTGAAACATCTGTAGAACCAAAGGGTTTTAAGAAAACAAAATCAAAAGCCACAACACAGAAAGAGGCGGACAAGACGCCCAAGATGTGCTCTGAATATTTAGGTGTAGGAGTTCATATGACCTGCCTGTGCTTAAACAAAGAAAGAAAATATTAAGTACTCACGTTTTGTGTTGCAGGCAACTGAAAACTGAAGACACCATGAACGTCACAGGAGCACCAATAGCGAGAACCACAGACTCTCCTTGTGTTCAAATTGGAGCGAGTCCCATCAGTGACTTCCTGATGGCTATTTACATCCTGGCATTTATCTTAGGATTGATTTTCAACGTACTGACACTGAAGCCTATTTGCCATCAAGTAAAGCAGAGGAACGTCCTAGGAATCTTTCTACTCTGCCTGTCTATATCTGACATGCTTTACATCTGCACAATGCCTCTTTGGATAAATTATTACCACAAGGACCACAACTGGGACCTGGGTGTTATCTCCTGCAGCATTGCTGGCTTCTTCTACTACTCTAACATGTACATCAGCATCTACCTGCTGTGCTGTATCTCTGTGGACCGCTGCCTGGTTGTGTGCCACCCACTGCGCTTCAAGACCCATCGTACATCGTGCTACGCATGGGTCCAGTGTTCTATTGTTTGTGCCACTGTTGTAACAATGCACATAGTCATATTAATCTTTGACAATGTCAAGCATGCCCATGATAAGAATGTCCGTTGTTATGAGACCTACCCCATGCAGACAATTGTAGCCATATTTAACCTGGTCAGAGTGGGCCTTGGCTTCATGTTACCCCTGCTAGTGTTGGCTGTGAGCTACTGGAAAGTGCTGGCCACTGTGGGCCAAAGCACTGGCCTGAATGCCCAGGCCAAAAAGAAGGTCCGTCTGCTCTCCTTTGGTGTGATTGGTATCTTCTCAGTTTGCTTTGCTCCATACCACATTCTCTTGCTCGCACGCTCTCTTGTCTACTTCAAAGTCGGTGATGATTCACCCACAGGACTGTACTGCCAGTTTGAACAAAACACGCACTTTGCGTTCTCCGTCACGCTGGCGCTGTCCAGTTTGAACAGTGTGGTGGACCCAGTGCTGTATGTGCTGGTCAGTAATACAGTACGAGAAAAACTAAAATTGTGCTGGAGGAGGGGACTGCAGACGCCAACGGAGGACTGCGCATTGACTGCATATAACAGAGGAAAGCCAAAAGAGAATAGTTTAATATGAAAGCAAATGTAGAAAGGTTTTATGTTTAAATGTATAGTTACAATTATGTATATAACTGCAGTATTTTATATGCAAGAATTTATCTTCCCATGATTTGCACTGAATAGCCATCCATCCATGTTGAAAACAAACAAGCAAACAAACAAACAAAAAACAACCCAGAAATTAATTGAAGATTGCCTTCCTGCATGAGTCTGTTCATTTTCGACCTCTTGTTGTGCATGGTCAAAACAGGGCTGAAAAAAATGTGAATCTTGGAGCAGGATCATTGCATCGTAGTCGTATGGTTTGGTGCTCCAGAGGCTTATTCAAGAAACAGCCTCTTTTAGTTTGTTGCTGGACACCACTGGAGTTGAAGAGCCCTTTTTTTTTCTTGCCATTCTAAACAATCCCAGGATAAGCATGTCCCTGATGCACTGTAGCTAAATGTACATTTGCTCTAAAAGCATGTTGTTTCCTGTTTAAATGATAGCATGGGTAAGCAGTGAAACATGATGAAGAGACAACAAAATAAAGAACAGTACAAACAGGTGCTCTGGTTTTTGGGTTGTTTAGTTTTTGCAGCTGGCATTTTAATAATTTCAACTCGAAGGTGAGAAAACGGTAAGCCCGTATGGCCAAGTACTTAGTCATTATGTTTGCATGTACAGGCAATCATAAATCCAGCACAGCTGTGTGCTGCACACGTCAAGTGGGCGAGGAGAGTAAGCTGGAGGTCTGTGTGCATCTGAATGTGAATGAGGGTCAATTTGAATCCCTTTTAAACTGATGTTTTGAAAAGATGTATGTTGCAGATATTCAGTTTTCTATACTTTCGAACTATTTTTGCAGAAAGAAAATGGATAGGATTAAAAAAAACAGTGTATTGACTGCATTATCACTTTTGTTTTTTCCGTTTTTCACACAGCGTCTCTCTCTTGCGTCAATGCCAGCAGAGCATGTGGCTTTTAACAAGCACAAACCTTGTGGTTTGCCATGTCTGTATGTTGGGAGACTGAACCATGCATGATACACTTCAACATCGCTTCCTGAACAACGCCTAGTTTATTGCAATAGATTTACAGTTTTGAATTTCTTGGGCAAATTTCAACAAGCCTGTCTGAGGAATGTGCTCTAAAATCTGCACAACTGCTGCTGGACTGCTTCAGGGAGTTATCCACCCTGTAAAAAGCATTTTCAACCTTTCATGAACTAAAAAGAGGCATTATTCTTAAACCTAAGCATTAAAAGATGAAGACAAGTTATTTTAGCAACTCATATATAATTACATTTTGAATAAAACATAACCTTTCTGATGATAGTGCAGAGGTTGCAGTTATAATTCACTGAAGCAGCAAATGTTCCAGCAACATGATTAAATCCAAAGTCAATTAACAAGCAACAACTTTAATTCCTGCTTGTGAATTCTGCATATGAAAGGTGCGCAGAGAAAAGCTATAACCGTTGAGGCACAAAATGTATTCCAATTAAAGAGGAACAAAGCTTTTAAACATTTGTTTATTTGACTTATAACAAATGTAGACCAAACAAGAGTTATTCACTACTGCAACAAATATGTCATGGTACATATTAAAGTTTGGTAGCTACAGTAGTCCCTCGCTACTTCGTGGTTCATTTATGGTGGACTCGTTCTATTGTGGTTTTTCAAAATAAGACTGGACATGACACACAATTGGCTAATTGATGGATGAGCCGCACGATCGGCATGGAATTTTTATTTAAAATAAATTATTTCATATTATTTAGCACCTGCTGCACCTTTGTGCAGCCCAAGCTGCAGGTTAAACTTCCTGCTGCAGCTGATCAGCTGTTCACCATGCAGAGCTGAGAAGTGAGTGTGGCCAAGAGCGCTTGCAGGTGGCAAAGAGCAGAGGAGGCAGGAATCTGAAATCATGGCATTCTGTGCTCTTTTAGAGCGTTTAGAGTTTAGAAACGTTGCTTAGAATACTGCAAGAGTGTGGGAAGGGTTTAAAACACATTTATACAGTGGTGGGACGTAACTAAGTGCATGCACTTAAGTACACTTTTCATGTATCTGTACTTTACTTAAGCAGAGTTAAACATGGGTACTTTTTACTTGTACTCCACTACATTTTACATTAAGTATGTGTACTTTCTACTACACTACATTTCTATAATGCATTGTGTTACAAGTTACATTCGCGTTGCAACTTTTTTATTTGTTTGTTAATTTGAAATTAACTGATGGCGAGAGGGGAGTTGGTCCATTGAATCAATGAAAGTGGGCAGGTAATATTAGACCCACCTTCAAGAAGAGCTATATTCTGAGCCGGGTGCACACACAGCACTGCTAACACACCCAATATGGATTCCACCGAGGAAAGTCAGCCAGAAGATGCAGTATGTGCCACCCATGGCACCATCCATCCATTATCTTTACCTGCTTATTCCATTTTGGGTCACGGGGGTCGCCCATGTCCGGCAATCACTGTGCGAGGGGCGGGGTACAACCTGGACTGGTCACAAGTCCATCACAGGGACACATAGAGACAATGAGACAAACAACCATTAACTTACTCACTCACACCTAGGGACAATTTAGAGTTACCAATCAGCCTAGCATTCATGTTTTGGTCTGTGGGAGGAAACCAGAGTACCCGGAGAAAACCTACGCATGCACGGTGAGAACATGCAAACTCCACCCAGAAAGGCCCCTGGACCGGGGTTTGAACCAAGGACCTGCTCATTGAGAGGCAGCAGCTCTACCAGTTGCGCCACCGTGCTGCCCCTATTGAAAGACTACTTAAAGATTATTCATTACAGCAGGACAGATTCTTTCTCCCAAAAGAGCCAGACTGGACTTAAAAATCGTTGAAAGCCAACTTCTTCTGAACTTGAACAAGAAATTCTTGCTGCATTATTAAAATGTTTCAGTTCATGGGATGTTAGGACAAGATATGAGATACAGTATGTCTCCAAATGACTCGACACTCGGTCCAAGTTTTGAAAATGGTGTCAGGAAGTTAAAATATTGTTCACTATTGACCCACTACAAGGTTGACTAGACAGTTTTTGAACTAGAGTTGACGACAAACTGGAGTTGAAATGATAAGAGCCTGTTCCTGTGTTAGGTCTAATTTTAGAACTAATTTTGCCATTGTACATATGCACATGGGGACATACTAGGTGTTGCACAACTTCATCTTTTTTAAAGTCAACTTCTACATGACAAAAGTCGAGTCGACGTCGACGAGTCGCAGTGATGTCATAGGAACTCAAGACGCATTATCATATTTGGAAAATATGTAATTTATTATTTACAAAAAAAGAACAATAAAACATTGGAAGCATATATTTATGCTCCTACCATTTATCATACTGCAAATACATCACAGGAAAACAGAGCTTTGTTGAAAAGGATGTGCTGTCTTTTCACTCATGGTTATTTACAACAGGCACAAACATTAGGCATCTATTTCAACACGTAATTTATCTGCAATGTTCTCAGACTCTAAGTGCAAAACAATTTCACAGAAAACTATTACTGTAGTATTACTGCTAATCATGGCTCAGCTCAGTGATGCTAATATAATTAGCTTCAGGCTACTCATTTGGACCCATTAACAGAGCCTAGTACCTACTGGTGCAACATATCTTTATTTTCTTATAGCAACTCACCAGTTCAGGAGTTCAGTTTTCATTACACAGGACTCAGGAGGCAGAAGATGTAACAGCTAAACATCTGGAGATGTTCAAGCTAAAATCAACAGAATCAGGTGTAAAAATGAAACTTATGTAGATGTACTTAGTCAGAGATGTTGAAGAGACTTCTGCATTTGACCAGGTGTGAGCTACTCGGGACTCAAACTTTGGAGCTCTGGTGTCTTAGAGTTTCTCACATCCTGCTGTATGACAGAGCTTTAGGGTCACGTTAATATATATATATATATATATATATATATATATATATATATGTATAAGCCATAAAATTATGAGAATAAAGTCCTAGTATTACAAGAAAAAGTTATATGACAATAAAGTCATAATATTACAAGAATACACTTGTAATATTATGAGAATAAAGTCAAAATATTACAAGAATAAAGTTGTAATGAAGCCAGTAGTATTGCGAAAATAAAATCGTAAAATTACGAGAATAAACTCGTAATATTATTACCAGAATGAAGTCATAATATTATGAGAATAAAAACTCATTATCAAAAAAGTCCATGCTAAATAATCCAGGTATACAATCCAACAATTTACAATCAGGTCATCTGGACAGTTTCATTTTTGCTGAAAAACCTTCAACAAAAAAAAGAAACTGTCCAGATGACCTGACTCAAAATTGTTGGATTGTATACCTGGATTATTGAGCATGGACTTTTTTGGTTTTGAACAGTTTGACACGACTGTCGATGAGGAAGAGGACCGGCAACAGAGGAGGGGGCATGCCAAAGACACCATCTTAGCATCAACATAACTGGTTTGTTCCACTTTGGAGTAAGCTGTTAGGGGGAAGAATCAGTTTTTTGTTGTGTGTTTCCTTGACTGATGAAGCCTTCTGGATGGAAGGTGAAACGTTTCAGCAAAAAAAAAGAAACTGTCCAGATGACCTGACTGAAAATTGTTGAAAAAACTCATTATATTACCAGAATAAAATCATAATATTATTCATTTCAATTCAGTTTATTTATATAGCGCCAAATCACAACAAAGTTGTCTCGGCGCACTTTACAGGAACATTCATATATATAAAAGCCAATTAGTAAAGTTCTCTATCTAAGGAATCCAGCAGACAAGTTGAATCTTGGCTTCGCTGCAATCTCCCATCCTGAGCAAGCACAGTGGCAACAGTGGAAAGGAAAAACTCCCTTTTAAAAGGAAGAAACCTCCAGCAGAACCAGGATCAGGACAAGCGGCCATCTGCTTTGACCGGATGGTTGAGAGGACAGGAAGGAGAGACAGACGAACATCAGAACTCCAACATAAAGCAGGACTTACTGCATTCGAACAGTTTTAAAATGAAGAATAAGCAT